TTTTCACCCGAAATCCAGAAAATACCACCGGGATATTCCTTCTTGTCTTTCTGTCGCCAGAGAAACTCGACAGCCAGAGATGTTTTTCCTACACCGCCGAGACCGCAAATTGCTGATTCCGAACAACCCCTCGCAATATTTTTCAGCTGCGCTGCAATTCGTTGTAGCTCACTTTCACGACCACAAAAGCAATGATTGCGACTGGGCAGATGCAAAATTTTAGAATCGACTGTGGCCATGGCATTACCTTTTTCTAACTTTTTCAGCCGAGAATCTAACTGAGTTTGTCCGACCTCTAAAATCTCCACCTTTGAGGTTAAGGCACTCTGTCCGTCCTTTAAAGAGGTTACTGTGGATTCTAGCTCATCGTGCCTTTCTTCTAACAAAAAAATGTTTTCTTCATTTGTATCTTGGCGTTCCTCTATTTTTGTCATGTTGTTAAAAATATCTTCAATTGCTGATGAGAATTCTTTGTTCTTTTTTGTTTGCGCTTGGTGCCCTTCCTCCAGTCGGCTTTCTATGTCCACTATACGTTTATCAAACTTCATTATTTCATCTGTGGCGTCTAGAAGAGCTTCTCTTATCTTCTTGGCTTCATCAGCATCGGATTTCGTAATGGTTTCTACGTTCTGTGCTAAGTTGGTTACTTCAATGCTGACAAATTTCATCAAATCTTTGTCCACTGGACAACCCATGCACAATTTCAAACCTGCCAAGAAACAAATGAAATGGATGCAACGTCAGCCATGATGTGAATATTTCGCCTTGGGTAGCTAAGGAACCTTTCATGATTGGAAGAAAGAATTTAAAAAGGGGAGATGGAAAACAGTAAACTTTATATTTTCTATCAAGACACTAGTTAAATCCCCCACAGGACAAATATAAGCGAGAAATGGTAAACCGTTTTTAGTCTCGTCACGCAACGCTTCTCCCCATAAAGGGCTGCTCACATTCGAACAACATTCCTTTCCCATTGTTGTCTTTGCACCAATGAGATCACTGACATCGTTTCTTATGTGACCAATCAGAGCACAAGAGATTGTAATCAATATCGTTTTTCCCGCGTTTTCAAATTCTGCATTTGATTGTAGTTTCTTGATGGAGGAAACGCCGAAGACGGTTTTGCAAAGTGATCGTTGCTTTATTTGTTCCACTTCAGTTGAGAAAAAAGAAAACATTTATGTTTTTGGAAAAAGTTCCTTTGATTTTCCGGCGATCATTAGTTCCTGTCTGGATGTGAATGTGAGCTGCAATTCAGCGACCAGCGAGTTTGTCAGTTTGTAAAGCTTGCTGCCGACGATTGATCAAGTTCAAAATGGCCTCTGATCATCTTGAAGGGCTCAAAGATGAATGGGAGGGAATCTTCAAGGATCGCGAACGTCCCAGAAAGAAGCGCTTATTGAACGTTGAGACCGACGGTGGAGAAATCCAAGCTTCGTGCCGTGGGAAATCCTCGAAATGTTTACAATTCGATCCGATCAATACCACTTATACTTCTAATGCTACAGCCAATTCTAGTACTTCTACCGCGATCGGCCAACAGGTACGTTATACTCCGGCAAGATTTCCTATTGGTTCTATTGGTGTGTCTCCTATTCGAAGTCATACGGACTTGTGCTAGAAGCTTTCCCTTGTCAACTGACAGCAAGATAGACTGCTTTGAGTAGATAAGTCGAGGCCTGTGATTGGTTAGCATGTTTTGGCGCGGACACTTTCCAGAATATGGTAAGTAAATGCTGATTGGTCGAAATCCTGAATGGAATGCAATTCGAATGTGAGCAGCCTTTTCTGGGGGAGTTATTCGCTTCGCGTGACGACTCCGGAAATAGCTGCAAAGCAGTCTATGGTAAACCTGACGCGGAGAAGATCAGCTCACAGAGAGCTGCAAGGAAGACTGGTGCTCACCCTGGAAGAGGCATTGAAAAGTATTTAAAGGAAGACTAGGGCTCACCCCGGGGAGGCATCGAAAATATTTGGTTAGGGCCTAATGCACCACATGCACTTCATCGTCTCATTATTGAGATGACTAACCCTTGGTCTCCCACTCCCGAAGCTCATCACGTAATTTGTCTTCATCAGCTACTGTAAGGCCCAAAGAACGAGTCAATGTCTCCATGAGTTGGAAACTGTAGTTGAAGTCCGGTTGATTCCAGTGATCAAAGTTACAGTGTCCCCACTAATTTCTTACTTTGGAACGCACATCCTTGGCATTTGTTTGGATGCGAGTGTGAAAAACGGATGAGTTCGACAGCATTCCTAAAACTGATGATAAGTCACATGTGTCATCAAAACCTGAAAAGGTGATAAGATTAATAATTTAAGTTAGAACAAGGAGTAAGATATGCATACATGGTACATTATCAGTAAAAGATTTTTTTTACAGTCTTCTTACCCTAAAAGATAACTTTTGCAGTGCTTATGTTGTCTCAGTTCAAATTCAGCTATTTCTATGCTTATTCCACTATTGTTACACCCTTGCTTGAGCTTATAGCTCGTGCATGTCAAGGTGAAGACTCGAGGTGACCCCAATTTTACACAAAGGTGAACAACTTGAGCAGACATCACTTGTCATGGCTAAGAAGCGAGATAAAGCCGAAACCGAAGAGGAGATTTTTACTGTGATATTTTTTCGTGAACTAGAGAGAAAGATCAAGTCAAAACCGAAACTAGCTGTGTAAGTAGTATCCCGGTCAGTCAGGATAATTTCCAGGATGACAAGTGTGACTCTTGACTGAATAAGACTTCAGAGTCTCGTTGGGCCTGGAGACTTTTTGACATCTGTTTAGCACGAAGCCACCTGTGTAAGAGATTGACGCACCAAAAATAAACCGCAGGTTGATCCGGAACAATTATACATTTTTTGAAAGATGTTTCTCGCCCTTGTATTTCCCTGTAAGTTGTAATTAGCAAAAAGATCAACTAAGGATTTGAGATTAAACATTAGCGTGGTCTGTACTTTCATGATCGACAACGATATTCGTCATCACAGTAGTCAAAATGTGCGCCTCGTGAGTCCGCATCAAATTTTGACCAGTGTGATGACACATTTCGTTGTCGATAAGAGTACAGGCCACGCTAAACCACTGTGGATTTGTTTTTTTTGTTTATCACAATATCGACGCCAGAATTTCCGAGTCATCCCTGTGACAGCTGATAAAGGCATTACGTGACACGCTGACGCGAGCAGCGTTGTCTGTACTCTTATCGACAACAACAAATTGGCCAATCAGATTGCGACATTGCTTCCAATTGTGGTAAAATAATTATTCACCAGTAAACTTGGCCATGTGTGGTTCAAGATAAAGTTTGGCCAGATCCTCAGCAGATGTCACTTTGTAATCATATCGATGCACCTTTCTCTTGAATTTTCCCCAGTTGTTGTTAATGCTGCCATAGTTTAATTCAAATGATCCATCTTTCTTCGTGTGCTTGGAATAGACCTGTGTATGTATTCCACTTGTGCTCTTCAATGACGTGTAGTGTTTGGCAAGTTCCTTGCCAGCAAAGTCACGGAGAACTGGTAATAGAAGCCTGTTTAATGTGATTCCAATCACAACCCATCTTTTTTGGTTGTCGTCCAAATCAAAGCTGCTGACTGAATGAAATTATGAAAGAAAACAACGGTTTTGTCATATGGAAATAAATCTCATTTGAAATGCAGTTTTACCTTGAACATTAAGATTTTAGGTTTTCAATTAAAAGGGTATATATATATATTTTAATATACATGTATTTATAATTCAATATGGCAATGGCAAACACAAAATATGGCACAGTATTACATGAAATGTAATGATGATGGAATAGTAATATTCTTGCCTCAAGTTCACCATATGTGAAGTGCAGGCAAGAATATTGGGTCAGCTAAGCAGGTATTGGCCTGGCACCTGACACAAGTTTGCTTTCTTTCTGAGGTTTATAATTAAAAAGAAGTAAGAACCATTCATACTGATCATGGGACCTTCTGCATGGTTACTTTACATGAAACCTGCCATTAGTATCATTTCATCAATTTATTTTCCTTCCAGATTCACTTAAAAGAACGTGATCAAGGACCAGGAAAAGGATGTGATCAGAACATGGCTAAAGTCAGTGCCCAGGTAAAGTCAGTTTACAAGTCAAGTGGCCCATCATGTCGGCACTTAACTCAAGTTTCTGTAGCAGGAAGTGACTAGGAGTATTTCTAACTCCCCTTTAGATGGTCGGGTTGCTATTCCATCTCAGAGTTACCCCCCAGCATTAAATTCGCTGGTACCCATTTAAACATCTGGGTGAAGAGAGGTACAGGGCTTGAACCCAGACCAACCGATCCAGAGTCGAGCATACTAACCATGAGGCCACCACACTTTTGGATGGCATTGTATTATAATACTTTTGCATTTTCAATAGAGCTACTACAATGAGATTGCACATTTTTGGGATTTTTGGGGTAAGACAATTCTGGTAAGAAGGGATTAAAATATGGAAAGTGTTATATCGTGACCTTGTTTTGTTCTACTTGTGTTACATTATATTAAGTTACGTCATAGTTGTGTTACGTGTACATGGATGTGCCTGCGCAGCAAAGAATAGGAATAAAAGGAATCTTGGAATGTTCATGTTCATTGCTTGGTTTTTTTTACAATTTCGTCCTTGAATTTCCTAAGATACAACAGAAAGATTCTTTACCTTTTTGTTGGGATCACAAAAATTTCATTTTCCCAAAAATGACTGAGATGGGGTCTATAACTGGCCACAGAATAGACTATTATGGGGTAGGGGGTCTGAGAGGCCAGCAGTACATACCCATTAACCCTTTACATTCTAACATCAGTATGCATATTCTCCATACTGTTCTCTATACATTTCCTATGGTGCTGACAAAAAGAATTTGTTTAACAATCAAGAGTTTCATGTCCCCATGAAAAAATTATCAATCCGAAAAGCAAAGCAATTATCCAAGCCCTGGATAACTAGGGAATTAAGGCGGCGATTAGGGTTAAAAATAAATTATATCCATCTGGAGACAATGTTAGGTACAAATACTATAGAAACAAACTTTCTGCACTGATACGCTTGAGTAAAAGGAGATATTACGGTACGTTCTTTGAGAATAATATGGACAACATGAAAAAAACCTGGCAAGGAATCAATGAACTCTTACATCGTCGGAAGAAAAACTCAAAAGCCATATCTGCACTAAAGGACTTCAACAATCGCAACAAAATTGTTAAGGAAGGTTTGCGGATACCTAACATTACTAATGAGCACTTTGCAACAGTAGGAAATAGACTTGCTAACAATCTGCGCATTCCCCCAAAAACTCCCCTAGACTATCTCGACAAGTGCAATTCCCCAACTTCATCCTTCTTTTTTCAACCTGTTTTACCTGAAGAATTAAGGTCAGAGATATTACTTGTACCGAATGGCAAAATTAATCTTATGGTTTATACTCCTCACCTAACAAACTTCTCAAATGTTCAAGTGCCGTCATTAGTCCTATTCTTTCAGAGATACTTAATACATCTATCAAATTAGGGACTTATCCATAAAAATTCAAAATTGCCAAAATCACACCAGTTTTCAAGAGTGATGATACTGACCCTAACAATTACAGACCTATCTCTTTACTTTCTAATTTTAATAGGGTTTACAACAGTCTAATGAGCTACATAAAGAAACATGAACTTTTGTATTCCTCACAATATGGCTTTCGTAAGGGGCAATCAACCCAACATGCGATATTGGACATTGTTAATGATATACAGTCAAACATGGATAAACGATTGCTATCTTGTGGAGTATTCACTGATCTTAAAAAAGCCTTTGACACCGTTGACCAGGACATTTTACTTGATAAGCTCAATCACCATGGCTCTCGCGGAATAGTTAATGACTGGTTCTCCTCATATCTCAAAAATCGCACCCAAACAACACAATTAGGCCATCATATATCACATAAAGCTGTCGTTGGATGTGGCGTTCCTCAGGGATCAATCCTTGGACCGTTGCTCTTCTTGTTATATGTCAATGATATTCACAGATGCTCAAACAAATTTGGGTTCTACCTATTTGCAGACGACACTAACATACTGTGTGCAGGTAAAAATCTGAAATATCTTGAGACGATAGCAGGGCCGTAGCTAGCATGAGGCAAGAGGAGGCAATTTCCTCGTTTTGATTTTGGCCTTTTTTTCTTTTTTTGAAGATTGACTTTTCTGAAGAAAACTGCCACGGAAAATGCTTAAAAGAGCATTTCTGAGCCTCTAGATTTCGAAATTTTCTGAGGGGGCATTCCCCCAGACCCCCCCAATTGGCTCGCGCCTTCGACGCTCGAAACTTGCCTCGTCTTGTTCTGAAGTCTGGCTACAGACTGCGATAGTCAACATTGAGCTACAAAACCTTTATAACTGGTTGACAGCTAACAAACTAACTCTTAACATCAAGAAATCCAACTGTGTAATTTTTCATCCCTATCAAAAGCGACTTGCTTACCAACCAAAACTTTACATGTTTGATATTGATAAGAATAAATATACTTGTCTCGAGTCTAAAGTCTACATAAAATACCTGGGCGTACTTATGGATCAGAATCTTTCATGGAAATATCACATTGATTCCATTGTAACAAAAATTAGTAAGACTATCGGGTTTATTGCAAAGTTACGCCATTTTGTACCCCGACTTGTACTACTGAACATCTATACATCTTATTTAACTTATGGTCTTGCTGCCTGGGATCAGGCATGCAAGGCTTATCTTAACAAAATACTAATTCTTCAGAAAAGAGTGCTTCGTTTATTATACTTTGCCGAATGGCATGACCATGCAATTCCTCTTTTTCTCGAAGCTAACGTGCTTTCAATAACTTTTCTTTACTATGAGTCCGTATCAACCTTAATGTACGATATCAATAATGTTAAAGCCCCAGCAAACATGTTAAATTTATTTCAGAAAGTGCCTAATATCCACTCATACAATAAACGATCTTCTACGTCTGGCAAGTTTTATGTTAAATATTCTAGACTTGAAATACAAAACAATTCTTTTTCTCGGCTCGGAGTTAAACTGTGGAATGGGATACCAAGTTACATAACCAATCTCCCAAAGAAAGCTTTCAAAAAAGATCTCGGCAAATTGTTTCTTCATATATTAGTAACGGAGGATGAGTATATTGAAATCCCCATGATTATTAAAAAATTAGGATCATAGAAACGCATGCTGAGGGTCCCATTTTACGTCTATTTTCCTTTTACAACTCCTTGTCTTTATACATTGTTCGTCCGTAAGTGCTGTGTTAACTTGATCTCCCAACTTCTGTGTTTTATTTATCTCGCGGTTGCAATCTGCAAGGTTTTTTTCTATTAACATAGGCTTGCCTTATTTATTATTATTCTTCCATAACTTGTTATTTTAATCACGTCCTTGTTTTGCCCCGCCGCGACTAGCTTCTTACCTATTTGCGGGGCAAACCATTTTAATCATGTATTTTTGTGATAAGAATTTTCAATTATGTATGTCTGTAATCAGAATAAGAATAAAGTTTTGTTACTGTCGTTGTTGTTGTAGAGTTCCTTCGGTTGGTGATCATTTTCCTAATTCTCATGACCTTTCTGTGTGAATGAGAGGTGATGTTGTAAGGAGAAATAAGATGTTAGTCACTCTTAGACTCTTAAGGGTAAAAGTTTTAAAAAACAGACCCAACTACAAACCCTCTTCCCCCAAGTCAATGGCATTTTCCTCTGCTTCACCTGACAGGAAATGTTGAGATTCTTGTGGAAACAAAGCTACCTGCCTCCAAAGGGACCAGAGATAAACTGTAAATTCTGTAGTTAATATATTAAATATAAAAATTATTCTACCCACCAGGGCCTGCTGCTGGTGAGGGACTTGTAAGAACTGTGGGTGTGGCAGGAGGTCCTGGAAGTGTTGTTGGCATGAACAAAATAGGGGTTTTGCTTGTGCCTGTTGCCATGGCAGCCTAAAGAGTGATCAAAGCTATTGTTTAAGTAAGTTATTAACATAATTATACTTAATGTATATGAATTTATTCCTGCAATGTGCATGAAATCAATGAAAAATATAATAATGTAATCAATGAATATATGCAAAACAATGGAACTAAAAACAGTACTCCAAATGCAAAAATTGTTGGGGGTCCTAAACAGGTTGCTATTTGAGGTAGGGATGATAACAAAAGCACAGAGGGAGGCAATATTCTTTTTTCATCATTACCTTCACTTATCTAACAAACGACACCGCAAATTTAGAGTTAATTCATGTCAAATTATTTTACTTTAATTGTTTTCAAGTCCCTTTGAGGTTGAATGTTCAAGATTAGTTTACTCCAATAACTAACTCAGCTAAAAGGTACAAAAAGTAGATAATTTTGTTATTAGTTTGCCAGTTTTCTTTATGCCAGTGGAAAAAGGTTATTAAGTATTTATATCACAATGCGAAAGGTATGTGACGCATGCTGAAATCAGTTGGCTGTGTTCAACAAAACTACACCTGGGCAACAAATAGATGGACAGGTGAATTATGAGCTTGGTCAAATAGAATAAGGAAAACAAGATATCTTTCATGAGTTGATTTATCTTATTCAAGTGTATTACTATAGATATTAAACTTAATGTGTAAGTTTACCAGTTCCGCAGCTGTTACCATTGATAAAGAACTATCTACACCTTCTGTAAATAGAAATATTATTGTGGGGATCTTTCAAAAAGCTCAATAGAGCTCACTTAAGATCTCCTGACTTAACTGCCACTATCTAGCTGCATCTCATATTATCTGCCATTTGTTACAAAAGGTGCCATATCTCACAAGTGGTTTATTTTTGTGGGATTGGCTGCCTCTTCATTAATACAGAGCTAAAGCTTTGTTCCTTGTAGATATAGCTCTTGTTTTTTTTTTATGTGGCAGACCATAGAATATTTGCAATTGTATTGTGCCAGGGTCATTCTTCATGGATAATCAATTGCATGTGAGACTTTTTCACGCCAAAAACTGGAAACTGCTTTCAAAGATTAATTTAGGCCAAAAACAGGGAAAGATAGAATAGTTGGACAAACACTACTTATTGTTGGATAGAAGGGTGTCCCAGAGTAATATGAGTGAGACATTTTTTATCACATCCTTTTATTTTGTCCCTGATGCCCCTCCCCGCTGCAACCAAGAAAAATTAATTTTTTTTCAACTACATATTCCCTCCCCAAAATGATAACAATAACATGTCCACATTTGCAATTTATATACAATTAATTGTAAATATATATTAAAAAGAAACCATATGTAATTATTACCAATCAAAATTTCTTTTATAACTGTATGTCCTTTAAATGAATTCTTGATAAAAATTACTGATATACATACATGAACATCGGAAGATGACAAAATGCGGAGCCCTACTCCATGGAGTACCCTATGGAGTACCTAAATGGAGTACCCCTAAAAGTCATGTATTGGTCAGATAAAATACTTTATAAAGATGGTAAATCATTTCGTTGTACACATCTTAATGTATTTTGATCTTGCCAGCTGTATGACTGTCACAGTTCCATACAGTCCCACAATGATCGCCATCTTGAATTTAACATGGCCACTTCAACGGAAGGCTTAATGAAATGTAATCTGTGAACGTTTTCTTTAGTGGACCGACTACCATCTTCATCTTATGATCTTCAAGAAGCCAAAAGTATGGACGTACTTCAATCAGCAGCGGGTTTTACGTCTTTCAAAATACCTGTTTATGTAGGGTGTCTGCGAGAGGTGTGGCATTTAATCTATCAACACAAGTTACACAAGGCCTCATGTGTTTCTTAATTGTGTGAAGCGATGAGGATAAAAGCTAGGACTTATAAAAAAGTAATTCATGTGTTTAAACTGACCTTCTCTTCACCCATCTATTTGTAGCGTATTAAAATTGAGATATGTAAAGAAACAACCACAACAACAAAACACACTGATGGGTCAGCAAACACATCTGACTGGGGCGGTTGATTTGGAAAATGCAGTAAGCTGAAATATTTTACCTCGTGCAAAACTCGAAACAGTTGGTTTTGTTCATCGTATGGAGTTTTTTTGTCTTCCGGTCAAAGGACTCATTACACAGTGGCAAAACCAAAATAGAGGAACCAGTAAGACTGAGAGCCCCCCTGCCCCCAAAAAAACTGGACTGTATCGAACTGTGACAATCCGAGAGCTGGCAAGCTCAAAATGTATTAATTACAAGATGTGTACATCTATACGATTTACCATGTTTGTGAAGTATTTTATTTGACCAATACATGAGTTTTAGGGGTGTCACGTTGGGATGTCATGCGTGACACGCATGCTCTATGACATTATTACATAATGGCTCGCACGTGGTTTTTGTTTTGCTTTTCGACTCGTATCTTTTGACAAGGGGTACACTATTTAAGTACTCCATAGGGTACTCCATGGAGTAGGGCTCCGTGTTTTGTCATCTCCCCATGAACATCTGGTTCTCATGCAAGTTAATAAAGCTTCAGAGACCATATGATTTACACAGAAGTCTTAAAAAGCATTACATTAATAAAATTCATGTAGTGTGTATAGTAAACCAACCATTTATTAATTGATATGAAAAGGCTGAAGACTTTTCTTTTTAAAAAGGCTTTTAAGTGACAACTTTTGGTCTATTTGATATATATTGTTATCGTACAGCGCTTTTGAATATTGACCAATAGTTAAAGCGCTCTATAAATATATCATTATTATAATTATTATTATTATTATTATTATTATTATTATTATTATTATTAAAATACATTGTGCAAGCACTTGCTGATAGCCATTTCTGGTGAAAATTTAAATTATCAAAAGCAGATGTTCAATTCAGTGAAAGAAGGTTTGCCGTGATCCATTTTGATATAATAATCTTTCTTACAGCTTGGATCAAAGTTGTGTAGGACAATTTTCTTCTTTATCGAGATCTAACCATTTTTAAACATAAGTTCTCCTTGAATGACTCAGTGAGTAACAGTATTCAGAAGCCCACCTTCCCCTCCCCCCCCCCAACCTTCCAGTTTTCTATCCCACCAACAATGGACCGTTCACGATGTTCCGAAGTGAGCAAACAGCATGGTTATTGTTGCTTGTCACACAAGCACATAGATTTACCTCAATATTCGTTGAGCATAATTGCACTGATAACAAATTAAAAGAGCGAATGAATTTGAGCATAGCCCATCCCCGTTCAGAAGACGCTGGCGTCCGATTCCACTAGCTTTACTGGTCTGTACTTGCATTGATATATCTCGCCGTTTCCACTCATTCTTGCCGATCGGTTGTAATCGTATCAAACAGTTTCAATTAACTTACAAGGGCTTAAAACATTTCCTTCACCTCACCACCAACGAGCAAAGTCGAATAACATCCACGTAAGCAAAAGTGAAACAGGTGGGTGGCTTGGACGCTTCTGATTGTCTAAAATACCATTAACCTTCAACCAGAGAACCCCTATCTTTTTCAACGTGCCAACTTACCTTCCAATTAAGCCCTGTACTTTATCTGTAAAAATATTCTTTAAAATCTGCAGAAATCCAACAAGAAATGAGCGTTCAACACAACCCATGCGCTATGCTGTTCCTCATTTCTCGGAAAATATGTTCAGCAGGGTTCCCCAAGTTTTGTTTTCGATTCTGGGAAAACCGGAAATGTTTGGAAATATAGGAACAGGACTGGAGATAGAAAACGATGAAACGGCGGAATTTACCAATGCGCGTGACTCCGTTAAATGAGAGAAAAGGGGTTATTTCAAGGAGAAGTTCGTTTCATCATCGAAACAACAGGCTCCCATACACAGCGGTAGGTCAGAAAAATTTTTATTTAACGCACAGGGAGCATAAAGTTACTGACAGATGCTACAGACCTTATATAGCGCCTCGACCTCATTTCTCTCCAGCCCCGTGCCAAGAAAGGGCCAAGACGGCAGAAAAAGTCGAAATTTCATACCATGAAAACTTGATTTTAATAAAACTACAAATTATATAATTGCTGGGTGCTTCAAAATTCACACTTTAGTACTCAGTACTCATTTTTGAAAGATCAATTCTGTTGAACGGAATCGGTGTCTGCTTCCAAGTCGTTATTTGTGTCTTCCTGATATCTTGCCCTTTCGTTGGCCATAGCAAGTTGTCGCATGTTCAACAGACACCCTGCGGCAGCTTCTTGTAAAGCCGCATCCTCTGAACCAATCGTCTCCAGCAACAGCTTGGAATACAAAACAAGATTGATTGACATTTATTAACCGTCTGACTGACTGCTGTCAATTATAATTAGGATTTCATTTCTAATATATACATATATAGATACAATGAAATATATGAAGTTCTTATTCATATACATATATATATTTCTTTTTTTTTTCCATGACTTGTAAATTTCGTTTATTCATAATTATTTTTAGTTTAATTCCGTGTGTGTGTATGTGTGTGTGTGTGTGTGTGTGTGTGTCCCGACCTTAATATTGTAATTCATTCTATGTAATTTGGCTTCCTAGCCTTGTTAAGCTTCTAGTTATTTTAGGAAGCCAACACCCTCTAAATTTAAAATTTTATTTGATGTTAATTTAACCTTCCCAAGATTAAGGGTGAATAAAGTTTTTTTTGTTGTTGAAAGCCAATTATGGATCAGAAAACCATCATTGACAACCAAGAGAGGGTATTCTTTCATATCACGATTTCAGAAATGTTCAGTCAATGTTTTAGCTCCTCAAAAACTGAACGTTAAAGACGAAAAATCTGTAACAAGCATCACTGAAAACAACACTTAAATTACGGCTGACGTTCTCGTCTGGTAAACGTTGCACTTTATTAACAGCCGTTACGGAAGCAAAAAACTCTACGTTACCTTCACAACTCCGCTGCGGTGCATAGTGATGCAGCTATCAGGATGTTTGCCCAGCTGTTCGAGAGCCCGCATTGCTGACCGCTGCACTATAATGTCATGTGACCCCAAGTACTCTACCATTCTTTCTACAGCTCCTTCCTGGGAGAATCGCTACGCGTTGTTTCCCCATTTGCTGCACATGGCAATGGCTTCAGCCAAGTGTCGCCTCAAAATGATGTTAGTCTATAAAAAAAATAAATGTCTTTTTTTTTTTAACTAGTACACGTTTACAGGCTTTCTCTCTTCGTAACCGAATATTCATAGTACCATAGTAACTGATATAAGACCTTACCTTATGCGTGAGTTGTGCCAGGTGAGAGACAACCTCATAATCAGTTATGACGCCCAAGTTCTCCCAATCACAAGCCACAACTGATATCACAGCGCATGCGCTGGTAAGGACCTGAAAACGTTTCAATGCATTTAGTTGGAGGAGTCTAAAATGACTTTTACTGCCTTTTTTTTTTTTAGCTGTTTCTCGTCAGCTATGATATACAAAACAAGAACAAAACTAATTTGTATTGGTTGAAATGAATTACCTCCAAATCGGCAGACTTGAGCAAGCGAACAGTCAGATCCAGCCCCCCAACAAATGATCGTGCGGTTTCCCAGGCCTCCTACGGGTCAAAGAAATGGCTGCGGTTAAATATTCTGTTCAAAGAAAATTTCATCCCCCCAAATGTCATCAGAAGGTGATAATGCATTTATCTCATACCGGTGTGTCTTGCATCAGTCTGTATACGGCCCATGCTCCACCAGAGACCACCTGACCAACAGGAAAATAGGTGATATTATTTACAGAAATTCAACAGGATGTTTAGGATAAATCAGTTATAAATCAGTTACAACTCTAAGCGAAACATCTACTCACTTGATTGTTCCTTGACTTCATAAGAGACCAAAGAAGCCTAAGGCCTTCCAATCTGTTGAAAACTCTGAAAAAAAGACGATAAATAAATGAGTTCAAATCAGATGAGATAATGAATTAAAGTATATTGACCAATATTCGTGCCTCCTTTTAAGAATTAGGCGCAAAGCTATCACTTACGCGCGGCAGCTGCTGTTCACAGCGCATGCTGCGATGGCTCTTGCCGCTGTGCCAGTTAACTCTTCATTGGGGATATTCAGAATGTCGACTAAAGTTTTACATCCCTTGCATCGTAAAATCTCCAGCGGAGCTGTGGGGTGTTTGGCAATCTCTCCAATGGCTCCAACAATATGAAGGTGAACCTTCAATGAAAATTGGAAAATTTGAGATATTAGTATTCTTTTTTTGGGTCAGTCCAGTGCATAATTCTGATTCCAGACCAATTAACATATATTTTTACATACTACTCTCTGGACCCCAGTCCATATTTTTGACACTTACTTGTTCAGGGAGGTCCTCTTCGCCTTCTTCATTCTGAAGCAGATTAACAAGAATTTCTAACACCTTCATCTCCATCAACCTGGATCAATAAAAAACTTTCATTTCTCTTACTACAAAGAAATTATTTTGATAGCTAGAGTCAAAAGCTCTACCTAGGAATTCGAGTGTTCTTTCAAAACAATCTTTTGGTTTCAAATGAGTCGAAAAGGCGCGCATAACGACAATAGAGAGATTTAGCACCGCGTTTACGTGAAACGGCTAACGTCTGATTGTCCTTTCACGTTTCACGTAAAAGAACATGAATCTTGCTGCCCTAGCTTCGCGTGAGCACACCGTCATGGTGGATTTGAGGGTGTCAATGTATGAATTACAAGGAACTGTTTTGATGTCCTTTTCCGGAAGTAACTTCTACTCTGTGAGAGAAAAAGTGAGGAAAATATAACTAACACGGCAAAAGCGAAACACCTTACTTTCATGTAGAAACCGTCGGCAAAGCGGAAAAACAAGGTCACGTGGTCAGTCTTGCCGCTCACGTTTCACGTAAACGCAGTGCGAAATCTCTCTAATCTACTAAACCAAGATACAAATTAAAGGTTGTGATCTCAGAATTTTCAACCACGTGACCAAGGCCAAAAAAAGGGTAGAAGTAGTGGTAGTTGTTGTTGTTATGGCTATATCCCATGAAACGCTTACTTTTTGACATTGTATTCACTGATAGCACATTTCCAAATTGCACCTGTTACGGCTGCCAGCAGCTTCTTATTATCCCGGCGGGAAAGAAGCGATACAAGCGTGTTCAGACCTCCACAGTCATATACAGCCATAAAAATACCGCAACAAGTAAGTTTAACATTTTGATGTAATTTCTGTCTAAATTTGCACTCTTGGTTATTGGATCTGTAAATCATTGATTGATATGAAAAACAGCTGTTTCAAGAACGGTTGTTAAAAAACAAACAAACAAGCAAACATGCTCATGAAAATCTTGAAGAGTAATCTGGATATCTGGCTAACAACGATCTTAAAGAAGTGAACTAGATGAACAAATTCATCAAATCTGGGATGCCTTGTTTTCTCAGATTTCCCTGAAATCCTGAGGTCAAGGAATGGTGGCTCTAAAATTACCCACAATACCTTTTCAGATGATTATTTTGAACATGGGAGGTTGTTTCTATTAGATTGTGAGGGAACAAAATAATTTACAAAATGAATCAAACTAATGATGACATGATGTATGATATATAGAAGCCCTGGAGAGAGCTCTAAAGCAACCGCCTCCCGGTTAGCTCAATGGATAGAGCGCTGGATTGTTGTGCGGGAGGTCGAGGGTTCGAGCCCCGGCCGGACCAACACTCAAGGTCTTCAAATAATTGAGAAGAATATGCTACCGTTCTATAACATCAAAATAATGGTTAGATATTCTAGTCTTCCCGGATAGGGACGAATAAATGGATGTCCCGTTCTCCTGCAGGGTTAGGGGTAGGAGACGTTAATTACCCACGCACGAGATTAGTGTGTGGTGGATGTCCTCCCCTAGGGTGGGATGGGTAGGTTAACTGGGCCCGCGGTAATTGGCGCAAGCTGTCGCGGTGTCCCTGCCTGTCGGCAAATAGGCCAGCAAGAAACATGAAGTTGTAAGAAATAGTATTAGGTAATTGGTTCATTTATTTCACACTATTTACATAAACTAACATAGATAGGAAAGCAAAGTTGCAACAAATGATTACAAAATAAAATAAAGTACAGATTATAAAAACGTGTGTGGTGGCCAAAGTAGCAAAGGCTTTCTAGTTGGCCATCACAAGTAAGATATCAAGTAAGACATCAAGCCAGAGTTTCCCTTGTATTTAAGGTTGCTAATTAAACTGTTGATTTTGATAAAGCAAATTGTTCCCTTTGGTGAAGGCCCATACAATATTATCATCCTCCTAAATATAATCATTGAAAACTTCCAACGATGGAAATTCTTGTTCAGAATAAAGGAATGCACATCTTAGGTGCTTCTCTTTTTCACTAATTTCTGGGGGAGCATGCACCCATTCCCCCGGTCCTTCCCGTGATGCCCGTGGTGTCTCACTCTTTACTAGTAAATCGACTTGAGAGCTCCCTTCAGTTAGCAACCACATACAGCTTGTTCAGTGTAGTTAAGCCTAAGCAGAACGAAAATTTTGTGTTTCTATAATTAAACAACTTACAGCTTATAATGCCTATATATAACTAAAACAAAAAACCTACCATATTATTCCAACAAAGTGTAATGTTAACTGGGTTAAAACAAGAGTACCATCATGATAGTTATTGTATCTCTGCAA